TGGATTTCCCACACGGGTGGCAGGGACTCAAGTACTGATCATCACCTGCTGCCTCCCAGGCTGCACATTGGCAGAGAGCCGGGATGAGAAGCAGAGCTGGGACTTGAATCCAGACACTCTGATATGGAATGGAATGGGATGTGAGCATCCCAAGTCTACCCTGGATTTAATCACTGATTGCAGAGATCTTGAGACAGATGGGTCTCCAGGGACTGAGGAAAGCAAACAAGACAATTCTATGGCGATTGCAGATGAAGTTGGACTACTATCTGTCGCTCCCCCTCTTCGTGGAGGAACGACACTAAACCCTGCCTAGGCTTCATATCCGAGTCACGGCACCATTATGTTGCTCCCCGTCTTCGTGGAGGAACGACACAGGACCCTGCGCTGTTCTTTCGTCTGCTCGGCCCTCCCCGGGTTTGCTGCTGGTTCTTCCCGGGTTGGCTACCGACCCTTCCACCTCCGTGGAAGGGCGGTTCCCCCTGGCCACTTTCCCCACTTCCGCGGGGGAGCAGCACACCGCCGGCTGGCTCTCTCGGGGGCTGCACAGGTGTTCCTTCAGATAGATGTTCCCTTTAGATGTTCCTCGTGCATGTTGTCTCTCTCCTCCTTTATAGTCCTCATCCACCAATCCCAACTCTGCTACCCACACGCCGAGTATGCTGCTCTCCTCCAATCAGGAGCAGGTCCTACAGTTTATTGGTTGAACTGGAGGCAGCTGTGTAGAAGCTGTTTCCCTTCTCAGCGCCATATTGTGGGAAAGCAGATGCATAGAATAAGTCTTAATTCCAGTAACTTAGTCTAGTCCGAGTTGCTCCCCACACTATCTCACCCAGATGGATCGTGAGGTTTGGGTCCTTAGCCCCCTCCTCATTCCGTGGATGATATGGGTCCTTTGCCCAGAGCCATACTTCGGTTATGAGACACTAAGATAGAAGAAAAGCGGGCTGAGGAAGATGATGAGGACGGGGAAAGAGGCCAAGAGAATCTAAGAACCTATTGTCTGCAGTTCCTGAAATGAACACATACAGGTATATAGGCAGAGATCTACAATCGATCAACTACATGCCTGTGACTCTTCCAGGAGAAAATCCTGATTCCATGCCTTCACAGTGTACGAGTTGACCTTGTCATTTGTTTTGATCAATCAGACTCAGTGAGCTCAGTCAAATCTGTTTAGAAACTTTTCCCTGTTTTACAGTCTCATTGGGTTGAGTCAAATTTGTTCTCCGTAGAAGCTCCTCGTTTTGATCCACTCTGTGACTGTCGGTTTCTTGTTAACCCCAGAAAGAGGAAGAATCTTATTAGAATGGATCTAAAGGTGGCACACTCTTGCCAACACTTCGTATCCAAGCCCCACCTCTGGAGGGGAATGCATTGAGAAGCCAATGCATTCTGTAGTGGGTAGGGTGGTTTCGGGTCTCACTTCCTCCTTCAGCCAGGCAGGGCTGAGCCGTCAGCACCCTAGGCTGATGCACTGACGTGCTCTCAGGCATGGGTACAATCTCAGGGGTTTCTGGGGTGAATGGGAGTACTTTCACAGCCCTTAAGTGTCCACCTTGTGCATTTCTGTTTATCTCTAATTTTTGTCATGAACATTTTCAACATATAGAAAAGTTGAAAGTACAGCTCCGTGAACACCCATGTGTTTTCTCCTTAGATGCAACGTTAGTGAATACTCATATTTTGGTCATATGTCCTTTTCCTCTCTTGGGAAATTATTTATTTATTTCCTCTGCATCATGACATTTCACCCCTCAATTTTCTTCGCCAAGCCTGACACTTGTCATATCATCAGAGCAGGGGAATGCATGGATAAAAAAGCGCGGAGTCTTGTTTAGAGAAAGGGCAGGCAAGATGAATTGTCAGTGTGACTTCTGGGAATGGGGGTTTCCAGCACTTAGCTAATTCTCACATTGATTCTTTGATAAGTGGTGCCATTTTGTAAGACATGCATAATAAATTCCATCATGGTAATCCTTATTTTAATAACTTCAAAGGAGACAAAGCAAACCCATTTTAATTCTGTATACTTGCATGTCCATTTCCTCATTGTTTATTTCAAATACACATCTTCATTAAAGTGTCCTATTACACATACTGAAAGACAGAATTAGCTTTTTTCCTTCTAGCATATTAAGTACTAGAGCTATTGTGTAATATGGATCTGGGACTATTAAGAAGAGAGTTAAGATTTTTCATTATTTTTCTTGTGACTTGAATCATAATAAAATACTCACTTTTCAAGGTGAAGGATGTTAAACACCACATTAGCAGTTGCTGATGACTGCAAGGCATTACTGCATGGTACATTATAATAATGGTTATCCGCTCCAGAAAAATAATTACAATCCTTTAATGCACTCATAATATATTTGCAATTTTTAACTGTTGTTTTGTTCCCAGACCATCTTGTACACAAATAGAAAACTTAGTGCCAGTTAATCAGTGGCTAGAAGAGAGAAATAATTCATTAGGAAGCTACAGATGTCCTATCTTTGTTTTAGAACACACTGGAGAATTTAATTCAAAGTTCTAAAAAAGTGTTGACAGACAGATGGCATATGAACTTAATGAACCAGCTACAGAGCAGCACTCTCTAATATGTCAAGCCAGTCCCTCTCTGGTACTTTCCTTTCTTTCCATCAAACCCCATTCTAGGTCAACACGTGGCTCCTATGACCAATCCTCAACAATAGGGGTCTAAAATTGGACAGAAGCCATTGGAGTTGAACAATAACAATGGGTAAACAGTTATAGCCAGCTGTTTCAGGTGAAAGGCAGATTGGCTATTGTCTTAGCTCTTTTTCTGTTATTAATAACACAGTGCCACACCCTGGCTAAGGTGTAAAGAAAAGAGACTTATTTTGCCTCACAGTTCTGACCCAAGGTTGAAAGGCCAAATGAGGTGATGGCCTTCTTGATGGCAGAGACCCAAGCTGCACAAGGTAACACGTGGTGAAAAGCAAAGAGAGAGAGAGAGAGAGAGAGAGAGAGAGAGAGAGAGATGGGAGGGCAGGGATTCGTAAGGAAGAGAAGAAGCAAGAGGCCAAGAAAGGGTTTTGTATTTTGTATTTTTAAAACTATCTATCCTTAGCCGGCGCCGTGGCTCACTAGGCTAATCCTCCGCCTAGCGGCGCCGGCACACCGGGTTCTAGTCCCGGTCAGGGCGCCGGATTCTGTCCCGGTTGCCCCTCTTCCAGGCCAGCTCTCTGCTGTGGCCAGGGAAGGCAGTGGAGGATGGCCCAAGTGCTTGGGCCCTGCACCCCATGGGAGACCAGGAGAAGTACCTGGCTCCTGCCATCAGATCAGCACCATGCGCCGGCCGCAGCGCGCCGGCCGTGGCGGCCATTGGAGGGTGAAGCAACGGCAAAAGGAAGACCTTTCTCTCTGTCTCTCTCTCTCACTGTTCACTCTGCCTGTCAAAAACAAACAAACAAACAAAAACAAACAAACAAACAAAAAAAACTATCTATCCTTGTGGTAACTAACCCACTCATGTGAGACCTAAGCTACTCCATTAATTCATTCACGATGTCAGTCATGATTCAGTCACCTCCTACTAGGCTCAACCTCTCAAAGGTCCCCATCTTTCAATATTGTTACTTTGGGAAACAAATCATACCTAAACCATAGCAGCTATATTGCCAAACACCTGGGAATGTGTGGTTTTACAAGTACATCATGTACCGGGGCTGGTGCTGTTGCACAGCAGGTTAAAGCCCTGGCCTAAAGCACTGGCATCCCATATGGGTGCCGGTTCTAGATCTGGCTGCTCCTCTTCCGATCCAGCTCTCTGCTATGGCCTGGGAAAGCGGTAGAAGATGGCCCAAGTCCTTGGGCCCCTGCACCCACATGGGAGACTCCGAAGAAGCTCCTGGCTCCAGGCTTCAGACCTGCGCAGCTCCTGCTGTTGCAGCTATCTAGGGAGTGAACCAGCGGTTAGAAGACCTCTCTCTCTTTCTCTACCTCTCTCTGTAACTCTTTCAAAAAATTAAAATAAATTAAAAAAAAAAGTACATCATGTACTTTCTTTCTTTCTTTCTTTTTTTTTTTTTTTGGTTGTTGTTCGTTATTTAATGAGCTTCCCCTCCGAAATCAGAACACCAGTTTGTGAGGGTAAACTCCGTTCGTTAGAGCAAAGACAGACCGCAGGTTATCCCTGGAGCTGCGGCACAGCCTTGATCTTCGGCAGTATTTGCGAATCCACAGCTTTCTGATCAACCTTGCGCTGCTCTGTTATCTCATATTTCTCCTTCTCCGTGTCGAAGATCTCGCCTTCCTGGTGTCTGGGCTTCCACAGCTTCTTCTTCTTGAAATAAGCATCGGTGAGATGCTTCGGGATTTTCACACCGCTGATGTCAATTTTTGTGGAGGTGGCGATGACAAATTTCTGGTGTGTTCTACGCAGGGGAACCCGATTCAGGGAAAGAGGCCCAGTCACAAGCAGCAAACCACTGCTCAGCTGCTTCAGGAAAACCACCCTCTTGCCCCTGTGGCGCCCCGTGAGGATGATGAGGATGCTCCCAGGGGTGATGCTGGCCCGCAGCTTCCTCAGGTGCTGACTGAAGGGCTTTTTGCCGTGGCTCAACAGCTTCCGAGGGACATCTTCAGTGGGATAGTACCGCCGCATTTTGCGAAGCTTGACCACCCTGGTGCCACCATTCTTGTCACCACCAACTGGTTTTGTGATGGTAGCCAGCACCTTCTCCCTCTTCTTCCTTTCAATCCTGGACTTGGGAGCCGCGTACTTTCTCTTGTACAGGGCCTTCCTGGAGTACATGGCGGAGCGGGAGTATCTGCCAATCCCTCTCACCAGGACGGGGTTTCGGCTGCAGTGGGGCTTCCCCTTCTTGGGCTTCTTCTCCGCGAGGGTCTTCTTCTTCGCCTTGCCGCGGGCATGATCGGCTTTCTTGCTGGAGATTTCTTGGTAGCGTCCGGCTTTGCAGTGGGAGCTTTTTCACCCGCCATCTTGCAAGACGGGAAAGAGAACTAAGGGCCCCCATCATGTACTTTCTTACAACTCAGGTAAACAGGTTAATCCAGTTGTTCTCAAAGTTTTAGGAGCCCAAGGATCAAAATTCGGATTGCCTGTCAACATTCTGATTCCTTGATTCTAATTCTAGAATTTTGATTTAGTAGATCTTGAGTGAGGCCCAAGGATCTCCATTCTGTTTGGTTTCCTAAGGGATTCTGATGCAGACCATGGTGGACATGCTTTGACCTATATTTTTTTCCAGCACTTGAGATGCTATGAGGGTGAGTCATTGCTAAGCCTGATGCATCATGTGTCGATTCATTTAATGCTTGTCTTTGCTGGTTGACCAGTGCTATAGTCTCCATCTCATCCTGGACGAGTCGCTAATCAGGGGGTACAAGAGTTCCATACCCTGCAACTGAAAAGAACCAATGTGTGGCTGACTTTGAAAAGAGTACTTTCTCCCCCTAAACGCTCTCAAACTTATATGACAGGACACCCAGCTGGTATTAGTTAAACAAGACCCGTGTGTGTGTGTGTGTGTGTGTGTACCAGCATGCATGTGTACAGCTATTGAATCCAAAATAATCTTTCAAGGGTTAACCCCATATTTCCAGTATAGTTCTTTCCCTAATGCCACAAATGTCTTCACAAAAATCACCATGCTACGCACAATAGTTCAATAAAGAGAAAAATGTGCTTAGGGAACCATATGCAGAAGTTCTTTAGCAACAAATTTAATATATATATTCCAGTAAACATGGTATAACAGTCTTAAACATGTTCATTGGTTAATAAATTCATAAATAGTACAATAAACAGAGAAGGTAGCCTTCAAAATAGAGAGCTGTTAGTGGCAGTGGGCACTGGAAGCTGGCAGCTTGTGGTGTGCTGTGAAGTGGTAGGAAGGAAAGTTATCTGAGCTCAGAGGAAAAGCTGTGACACCAGAGGTGGGTGGGTGTGACTTCTAACAAAGTCATGGGAACAGTGGTAGTTGGTAGGAGTTTGAGGGTTGTGTTTTGTGTGTGTGTGTGTGGGGGGGTGTTCCCAAGTAGCTCTGTTCAGCTAAGTGCAGTTTTTTTGTTTTCGCTTAGTGTTCCTCACTCATAAGATCAACTCACATAGGCCCAGGCAAATATTATTTCCTAATTCACTGCTCACATTTGGAAGGAATTTGTGTTTTCAAGTTGAGTGTTACAGTAGAGCTGACATAGCTGTGGGAAGTTCACGTCGTGTGTAATGGTTCCCTGTGGGCTAGCCCCTCAGGATGGCCAGGAAGGCTACGCTACAAGGAGAACTGTCCATCTAAGAGGGTTTGGGAACCAAAATATGAAGGTTGATGTGTTTTTCCCTTCTGCCTTCTGAACCATCCACATGGCCATGGAGGAACTTAGCATGCTTTGGGTATTGACTTACCCCATGTATTCAGAGCTTAACTTAGGTTAATAATTACCTAAGATTTATTATAGATCTTTACTATATTAAAAAATCAGCATTGGTGTAAGCCTTGGAGGATCCACATTTTATTTTTAGCTCCATAAACTGTGAGACCTAGGCAAGTCCCTTTATTTCTTGGATTCATTTCTTCTTTTGCAGAATACATGGGCCTGTCATCTCTCTGAGATCCCTTCTTGCTCCCAAATCTTGTAACTTTGAGGCCTTCCCTGTTGATTAAATGCAGAGCAAATGAACCATTTTTATCTCTTTAACACTCTCCACGTTGCTCAGTAACATTTGCTTTCACCCAAGGTTGACTTCCTCGGTTGTTTCCCAGAGTGAAAATTCCAAGCTGTTAGGGCCCTCAGTCTCAGTCTCCACCAACAGATGGAGTCCGCCAAGGCAGATCACGTCTGAGTTCATAAAGCTCCCTTGTTTATTTTGTTGACAGCTTTATTGGAGTAAAATTGACACACAATAAGCTGCATTAAAGTGTATAATTTAAGTTTTGACAAATGTATACACCCATGAAAGCATCAGCACAATCAAGATAATAAAAATATCTCCATGTCCTCCTGCCCTTGTGAGGCCTCACTCCCTTCCTACTTCTTCCTGCCTAAATGAAGACCCACAAGGATTTGCTTTCTTTCATTACAGATCTTCTCATTTTCTAGAATTTTACAAAAATGCAGTCATATAAATGTATTGTTTTGTCTGCCTTCTTTCACTCAGCATTATTTTGAGATTCATTAATGTTTCATTTTGCAATAAAAAGGAGGTGGGTAGTAATCTCTTGTATGAGTATACTATAATGTATTTTTCCATTTACCTGGTGGTAGATATTTAGGCTGTTTCCAGTTTTTTGACATTACAAATACAACCATAAGCATTTTTTGCAAGTGTTTGTATGGATGTATGTACCCATTTATCTTGGGTAAATTACCCGTTTGTCCTGGGTAAATAATTATATGGTGGGTGTATGTTTCAATTTTCTGGAAACTGCCAAACTGTCTTCCAAAGTGCTTGTACCATTTTATATCCCCATCAGCATTGTGCAGAAGTTCCAATTCTTCCATATCCTCTTCCCGACTTAGTATGATCAGTATTTTTGATTTTTGACTTCTAACAAATAAATGGTGGTCTCTCATTATTATTTTAATTTACATTTCCCTAATGGCTAATGACACTGACATCGCATGAGGATTATTTTCCACCTGTGTATCTTCTTTGGAAAGGTGCTCATTCAAATGTTTGACTATGGTCTTTGACCCCGGGCTCCTCCAGTCATGTCTTTCTCTGGTTTGTCATTTTGAAAGGTTGTGTAAGTGGAATCATACGTTCTGTAATCTTCTATGTTGCCTTTTTTCACTCGTAATTCTCTGGAGATCCGTCCAAGTTGGTTGTGTCCACCATTTGTTCCATTTTCTTTCTGTTGTATTGGATGGATGGATGACAATTTAGGACATCTGGGTTGTTTCCTGTTTGTTGATATTATGAATAAAGTCTCTATAAATACTTGTGTACATTTTGGGTAAATATAATTTTCCATTTCCCTGGGATAAACGCCTAAGTGCAAATTTCTGGGTGGTGTGGTAGCTGCATGCTTTGTTTTTTAAAGAAACTACCTATTTTCTGCAATAGTTGTACTGTTTTCCACCCCATTAGTTGTATGTAAGTCTTAGGGTTTCTCCACATCTTTGACAGCATTTGTGGTTGTCAGTATCTTGGATTTTAGTTTCTACTGATAGGTGCACAGTGTTATCCCATTGTGGTTTTAATTTGCGTTTCCATAATGGTTAATGATGCTGAGCCTATTTTCATTGGCTGATTTTCCATCTGTATATCTTCCTCAGTGAGATGTCTCTGCATTTCTTTTGCCAGTTTTTAAAAATAAAATTGTTTAATATTACTGTTAAGGTCTTAAAGTTCTTCATATATTCTAAATACTAGTTGTCAGTCTGTAAATATGTTCTCCAGTTTTGTAGCTTATCTTTTCTTTTCTTTTCTTTCTTTTTTTTTTTTTTTTGACAGGCAGAGTGGACAGTGAGAGAGAGAGACAGAGAGAAAGGTCTTCCTTTGCCATTGGTTCACCCTCCAATGGCCGCCACGGCTGGCGCACCGCGCTGATCCGAAGTCAGGAGCCAGGTACTTCTCCTGGTCACCCATGCGGGTGCAGGGCCCAAGCACTTGGGCCATCCTCCACTGCACTCCCGGGCCACAGCAGAGAGCTGGCCTGGAAGAGGGGCAACCGGGAAAGAATCCGGTGCCCTGACCGGGACTAGAACCCGGTGTGCCGGCGCCACTAGGTGGAGGATTAGCCTAGTGAGCCGCAGCGCAGGCCTAAAATAAACTCTTAAAAGCATTTTACACTGGGGTTGGTGCTGTGACACAGTGGGTTAAAGCCCCGGCCTACAGTGCCGGCTTCCCGTATGGGTGCTGATTCGAGTCCCAGGTGCTCTACTTCTGATGCAGTTCCCTGCTAGTGCATCTGAGAAAGCAGTAGAGGATGGCCCGAGTGCTTGGGTCCCCACACCCACACAGAATCCGGCGCCCTGACTGGGACTAGAATGAGATATTTTGTAGGACAAAAGTTTTTAATTTTGATATGGTTCTATTTATTCACTTTTACTTTGATGAATTGTGCTTTTGTTGTCAAGTCCAGTAACTCTTTGCCTAGCCTTATATCCTGAAGATTTTCTGCCTTTTTTTTTTTTTTGAAGAGTTATAGTTTTTTTTTTTTAATTTGTTTATTTGAAAGGCAGAGTTACAAAGAGGCAGAGGCAGAGCGAGTGAGGTGTCCTTTCCATCTGTTCATGACTCCCAATGCTGCACTGTTGAGCTGAGCATCTGAGCAGAGCAGAGCTCTCTGGTCTCATCTCTATGCTTTCAGCTGTACAGAGAGCTGGGTCAGAAGAGGAGCAGCCAGGACTAGAACCAGTGCCCATATGGAATGCTGTCATGGCAGGCCAGGGCGTTAACCAATCCAGCTTCCTACTAATGTGCCTGTGAAAGCAGCAGAGGGTGGCCGAAGTGCTTGGGCCCCTACACCCATGTAGGAGACCTGAAAGAAGCTCCTGGCTCCTGGCTTTGGATCAGCCCAGCTCCAGCCATTGTGGCCTTTTGGGGGAATGAAACAGCCAGTGGAAGTTCTCTCTCTCTGTCTTTCCTTTCTCCCTCTGTGTAACTCTGCCTTTCAAATAAATAAATCTTTAAAAAATATCTTGTATTTTATGTTTAAGTCTATAATGCAGTCTGAGTTAATTTTTATAGGTGTGAGACTTAGGTTGTTGTTAGTTTTTAATTTTGTGTGTCTGTGTTTATGTTTGTGTTTGCTCTGTGGATGTCAGTTGCTCCAACACCAAATGTTGGAAAAGTTATCTTTTCTCCATTAAATTGCTTTTGCGTGTATGTAAAAACCAATTGCCAGCTGGCACTGTGGCTCAATAGGCTAATCCTCCGCCTGTGGCACTGGCACACCAGATTCTAGTCCCGGTCGGGGTGGAGGATTAGCCTAGTGAGCCACGGCATCGGCCGAGAGCAGATATCTTTACCTGCTCTCAGTCTTAAGGAAAAGAGTCAGTCTTTCACTCTTCCGTGTAAGGCTTTTGTAGACCTTCTTTATTAGGTTGTGGAAGTTCCTCTCCATTTCTAGTATATTGAATGTTTTATCCTGAATGGTTGTTGAATTTTATAAGACTTCTGTGTGTATGTGTCAATTGATAGCATCATATGCTTCCTCTTTGGCATGTTGATGTGGTATTACATTGCTTACTTTTCAAATGCTGAAACTTGCATACTTGCAATAAGTCCCTCTTGGTCCTGGTGTTTTATTCTTTTATACATT